TATATATATATATATATATATATATATATATATATATATATATATATATCTGATAAAATCACACGAGGAACTACATTTTCTTCCTTGTGGTTATCAGCATATATATATATATATATATATATATATATATATATATATATATATATATATATATATATATATATATATATATATATATATATCAATGAATATGATGTATTTCTTTGTATATGAACCTCTGTCCTGCGTGGCAGTGAGAAGTGATACCACCCTCAGTGTCAAGACCTGACTGAATTACTCAGAATAGGCAAACTGTACTACAAGCTTTGTCAATAAATTTGTTAAACTAAACTAAACTACCCCTGGGCCCTCCAAGATTTAAAGCGCTTCATTCACCCCCTCCACCTCAAGTCCTGGAACCTTCCCCTTCATCTTACCTTCACGTTCCTCTCTTTTAGGTCTTTCCTCCTACCTTAATAACCCCAACTAACGTCCTTTCCTTCCCTCCCCGAACAACCAAAACAGATGCTCTCCCAACACCTAAACATTCATGTCTGACACCCCTGCCAACACTGAACCTTATGTCCCCTCCCAACACTGCAGAGACCACTAGGTCTGACACTTGTCAACATCCAGCCCTGCCAACAGGGAAGACCGCGCCTCCGTGGGTGTGGTGAAGGAGGGAGCCAGAACACTCTCACTGGGATCTAGATAACGAGCGGACTTGAGGCGCCTCGCTCGACCCACCGACGTGTTCTTGAAGTGAGTTAAAGTGTGGGTGAGCCGGAATGAAAGACGTGTTTTGTCCAGATGTTACATTTACGCATTTGTGTATACGTGAAAGATTTTACTGAAAACATCCTTTTCATACACAGACATATAATTTGCATTAGAGGTATGCAAGATAATATTAATGCGGCTAAGTATGAAACATCCTACACTACAAAGAAAACTGTTTTCTGAAAAATTACAACACTGGTAATCTGCAGTCATTTGGGTGAGAAAAATTCATTGTATGAAATTACAGTGGAGAACACCATTTGCTCTTCATCTGCAATGCAAATTCGTAAAGGAGCATTGTCTGCTCTGAAAAAGCACTGAACTTAATTATATTCTTTCTTGTTTTGTGGTTCTCCATAAAAATCAGTTACATGGAAGACCACTGTGCGGAACTTGAAGAAAACAATTATCATATAAATATATTACAACTTGACAAATCAAAGACTGAACACATCTGTAGCAACATGCAAGAAAGCGCTGCAGAGAATCAGAGTGATATGAAGACGTAAATTAAGTAAAGTTACCTCGTAGATGTCAACATATCAGACTAACTGAGAGTTTCCTAAGGATCAGTTCATAACTGAGGCCACTAGTGTGCTAACAATCAACAAATAAGAATCAAACATAAAAACAACCAACCGAGAGGTTTGACGATATCGACTTTCCGTCATGTCAGGTAACAAACACACGGGTGACAGTGGCCAGCGTGCATGTTTAATAGGTCACAGACTGAGGCCTCAGTTGTGTTGCCACAGGACATATACAGTTCACTGTGAGAAATGAATATAAAGGAGATGTATCACTGTATACCTCTTTACTATACCGTTTCCACTGGTGCCAGGCCATTATGAAACTGGAGAGTGTCAGGATGCGATGATCTGGCGTCGTAACAGCGTAAGTCATGTAACGTTGTATTCACTTATAGGTGCTCTACCTCAAATTAATATAACGAAATTAAAGATAAAATACTTAAAAGTTTATGGCTATACTTAAATATGATAAAACTACAATATATTTTCTGCAGGTCAGCGTCCTTGATAAATTTAAAAAACCAAGTGTCAGGCTGAAGTAGCCAACACGAAGCCCGGCAAGGCCTGACTTCCACCTTGGTGACATTCAGGAATACATTCTGGGGTGAATCTATGTTGTAATATTCCGAATATTTTTGGGCCAACAGTGGCATCCCAAACATTACTTATGGTAGTACTAATAGTGGGTAAAAGGAGGCATGGGGTATCGTGCTACTTTAAGGTTAATTTAATTCAAAATCTGAACTTAAACGTAGATCACTGTGTATGTCGTAGAAAATGTAGGTCTACCATCTCCATCTGGCATTAAGTATACTCAATTAAATTACCTAGAATCGCCAATTCCAGGAGTTTACCACACAGCATGGTGACCCTTGATCTGCCACGCCCAGTAAAAGTATATTATTAAAACTCATTTATTCCCGGAACGAACAATCATTTACAGTAGCTTCGTCCTATCTTAAGTGCGGTGTACTTTATAACAACTCCCACAAAAGAGGAATCGATTGACATACCAACAGACATGTCTTACAGTAGGATGCACTCTTCCAGGCACAGTGCATTGAGTGACACTGTAGTGTACTCTCAGATACGCTGTTACGACCGACATTTTATGATTCACCTTCCCACATTCACTGGCTGGACTCTCAGGTGACACAACTCCAAGTATATTCGGCTCCGTGCCCACACACAGCAGCCAACGCGATCTAACTTTGTGAAAATACACACCGACTGCAACCGACAAAGTAAGACCGACATCCTAAACTTGCAAAGCTGGAGAAACAATCCACTGTTTTCCCCAAGTTTAAAAAGGCCTCGAAAACAGAGAAATTGAAGTAAACTGTTTATACGAGAACTTATAAATATAACTTGAAAATACAATAACGTACAGACAAGAACGAAATGCAACAAAAATGAATGTAAGAAAGATTACCAAAAGAATAAAAATGTTAAGGCATGAAAACTGTGGTATAGACTTAAAAGAACAAATGAAAGTAAAGAATACAAAAATAGAAGACAAGAAACATTGACCTACACTAACAACAACAATAGATCCCTGGGCTAGAATATGCAACACACGGAAGCAACACTGACAAACAAGGTAACAGTACAGTATGTGATTACAGAATATAGTATATACACACATACCAACAAAAAAATGTACAGTAACATCACAACACAAGAGTTTAACAAAAATGCAACATCACAACAAACAAATGCTACATCGAAACAAGAACATAACAAGAAAGCAACAATATAATAAACGAATGTAACACCACAACAAACGAATACAACATCACAACACACGAATGCAGTTTCACAACAGACGAAAGTTAAGTAGCAACACACGAAACCAACGTCACAACATAAGAATGAAACATCAAGAAAGAAAAGACTTAAAAAAAATGATGAGAGACAAATCCAGAACAGCGCTGAATTTCATTTTGAAACATTGCAAAGATGGAACATCTACATAGAAATTTTGCAACACAAGAACAATACTAAATATGGACGCAAATCTGCAGTTCGACCTTCATATTCACAGTTGCCAAAGTGCATTAACAACCACAGTGCAGCAAGAGTCACACTGAATTAACAGCCACACTGAATCAGGAGCCACACTGCATCAAGAGCCACCCGGAATCAGGAACCACACTGCATCAGGAGCCACACTGCATCAAGAGCCACACTAAATCAAGAGCCACACTGCATTAAGAGCCACACTGAATCAGGAGCCACATTGCATCAAGAGCCACACCGCATCTAGAGCCACACTGCATCAAGAGCCACAGTGCATCAAGAGCCACAATGCATCAAGAGCCACAGTGCATCAAGAGCCACACTGAATCAGGAGCCACATTGCATCAAGAGCCACACTGCATTAAGAGCCACACTGCATCTAGAGCCACAGTGCATCAAGAGCCACAGTGCATCAAGAGCCACAGTGCATCAAGAGCCACACTGAATCAAGAGCCACACAGAATCAAGAGCCAAACTGCATAAAACCACTGCATTAAGAGCCACACTGAATCAGGAGCCACACTGCATCAGGAGCCACACTGCATCAAGAGCCACCCTGAATCAGGAACCACAACTGCATCAGGAGCCACACTGCATCAAGAGCCACACTGAATCAAGAGCCACACTGAATCAAGAGCCACACTGCATCTAGAGCCACACTGCATCTAGAGCTACACTGCATCAAGAGCCACACTGAATCAAGAGCCACACTGCATTAAGAGCCACACTGCATCAAGAGCCACATTGCATCAAGAGCCACACTGCATTAAGAGCCAGACCGCATCTAGAGCCACACTGCATGAAGAGCCACACTGCATCAAGAGCCACACTGAATCAAGAGCCACACTGAATCAAGAGCCACACAGAATCAAGAGTCAAACTGCATCAAAACCACTGCAGCAAGAGCCACACTGAATTAAGAGCCACACTGAATCAGGAACCACACTGCATCAGGAGCCACACTGCATCAAGAGCCACCCTGAATCAGGAACCACACCGCATCTGGAGCCACACTGCATCAAGAGCCACACTGAATCAAGAGCCACACTGAATCAGGAGCCACATTGCATCAAGAGCCACACTGCATTAAGAGCCACACCGCATCTAGAGCCACACTGCATCAAGAGCCACACTGCATCAAGAGCCACACTGAATTAAGAGCCACACTGAATCAAGAGCCACACAGAATCAAGAGCCGAACTGCATCAAAAACCACTGCATTAAGAGCCACACTAAATTAAGAGCTGCGCTGCATCAAGAGCTACACTACATCAAGAACCACACTGCATCAAGAGCCACACTGCATCAAGAGTCACACTGCATCAAGAGCCACACTGGCTCAAGAGCCACACTGCATCAAGAGTCACACTGCATCAGGAACCACACTGCATCAAAACCACTGCAGCAAGAGCCACACTGAATCAGGAACTACACTGCATCAGGAGCCACACTGCATCAAGAGCCACCCTGAATCAGGAACCACACTGCATCAGAGCCACACTGCATCAAGAGCCACACTGAATCAAGAGCCACACTGAATCAAGAGCCACATTGCATCAAGAGCCACACTGCATTAAGAGCCTCACCGCATCTAGAGCCACACTGCATCAAGAGCCACACTGAATCAAGAGCCACACTGAATCAAGAGCCACACTGAATCAAGAGCCACACTGCATCAAGAGTCACACTGCATCAAGAGCCACACTGGCTCAAGAGCCACACTGCATCAAGAGTCACACTGCATCAGGAACCACACTGCATCAGGAGCCACACTGCATCAAGAGCCACACTGAATCAAGAGCCACATTGCATCAAAAGCCACACTGCATCAAAAGTCACACTGAATCAAGAGCCACACTGTATCAAAAGCCACACTGAATCAAGAACCACACTGAATCAAGGGCCACACTGAAATAAAGAGCCATACTGCAAGAACAACAATATAACAAGTCATAATACAAGAACCTAAGACACTAACAATAGAATTCACATAACAACAGCCTCACTATACACGTCTCAATGTAACACATGTATATAAATTTCACGAGGAGAATGAAAATGTAGAGAAAAATAAAAGTGGTATATGATATGTATCAAGATATCAGTGTACATATAGGGGAAAGTGTACCTGCAGGGGAAAGTGGTCCTGCAGGGATAAGTGTACATGCAGGGGAAAGTGGTCCTGCAGTGATAAGTGTACATGCAGGGGAAAGTGTACATGCAAGGATAAGTGTACATGCAGGGGAAAGTGTACCAGCAGGGATAAGTGTACATGCAGGGGAAAGTGGTCCTGCAGGGATAAGTGTACATGCAGGGGAAAGTGTACCAGCAGGGATAAGTGTACATGCAGGGGAAAGTGTACCAGCAGGGATAAGTGTACATGCAGGGGAAAGTGGTCCTGCAGGGATAAGTGTGCATGCAGGGGAAAGTGGACCTGCAGGGATAAGTGTACATGCAGGGGAAAGTGGTCCTACAGGGATAAGTGTACATGCAGGGGAAAGTGGTCCTACAGGGATAAGTGTACATGCAGGGGAAAGTGGTCCTACAGGGATAAGTGTACATGCAGGGGAAAGTGTACATATAGGTTAAAGTGTACCTGTAGGGACAGGTGTACATGCAGGGTAAAGTGTACATACGAGGAAAAAGTGTACATCCGGAGAAAAGTGTATAAGCTGAGAAAAGTGTTAGATAAAGGTGTACAAGCTGGAAAGAGTGTACTAATCAAGAAATTTGCACAAGTGGAGAAAAGTGTACAAGCAGAAGAGTAAAATAAGAGACAATATAATTAATACAAGAGTACAAACAGAGAGACCAAGGCAAGTAGAGTATATCAACACAGAACATACACAAGTGCTGTACAAGCTTCCAGAACATAATAATACCGTTAAGTGTTCGGTGTATATCCGCTAACAGGGAAAACGTACAAGAACATTAAACTGTAAACGGAACAAGATGAAAAATGAATAAACAGAGGAAATCAACCAGAAGATAAACACACACCTCACTCACTGTGTGTGTGTGTGTGTAGTGATAATAACAACAAAATTAAACACACACACACACACACACACACACACACACACACACACACACACACACAAACACCCACACACAACTGTATTCAAGCATATAAAACGTACAAGCAAGAGGAGAGTTTCAAGGATAAAAAAACATACAAACAAACAAACAAAATAAAGGCAGAAAAAAGGATTGCACTCGCTGGAAAAACTTACCAAGAGAACAATTTGAGAAACTCTGGTGCATCCTGGGATAAAAACGCTGAACACAATAACAAGGCTCACGTTGGGTGGCAGATCTCTGCAGTGTTGCAGGAAGGACTGAGGATGAGAGCAACAACCCTCTTTCAGAGAACCCCCAGTGTTGCAAGAGGACCCCCAGTATTGCAAGACCACCCCAGTGTTGCAAGAGGACCCCCAGTAATGCAGGAGGACCCCCAGTGTTGCAAGAGGACCCTCAGTGTTGCAAGAGGAACCCCGGCATTGCAAGAGGACCCCAGCGTTGCAACAGGACCCCGTGTTGCAAGAGGACCCCAGTGTTGCAGGCGTCACTCGGTGTTGCAGGAGGACCCCCAGTATTGCAAGAGGATCTCTCGTGTTACATGAGGAACCCCAATTGCTGTAGACGGATCCCCAGTGTTGTAGGAGGGACTGAGGATAAGGATAGCATCATTTAGAAGGATCTCTCCACTGCCATCCGAGCCAACATGTACACGACAAGACCTCATTTACATCTGCGGATGTGTGACAGGAGGACTACTACTCTTGCATGGACAAGAAGAAAAAATTCTAAAGAAAAAAACATGTGATGAAATACACGGTTTAGGGAAACAACGAAACAGAGAGAGAGAGAGAGAGAGAGAGAGAGAGAGAGAGAGAGAGAGAGAGGTGAATGTGTGAATGATAAATGGTAAAACAGAGAAACATGTACACTCACGCTCCATAGTTTCAATGCACCCTCTATCCCTTACGCCTGGCTAGCGGGAAGTCGTAGTCAGGGCTGCAACCCGAACGGTCCCTCTTGTATAGTGATGTTAAGTATAGTGATGGTAAATAAAGTGTTATGAAGTCACTTATGAAACCTGTATCGTGTATATATTCTCTCAAATATTACATCATGAACTGCTATTCGTACAATCCAGCGAAGCTTCGAGCTACCACATTGCACTACTGAACGATGGGTGGGGGGGGTGATAGAGGGGGTGAGAGGAGGGGTGGGGGGTTGAGAGGGGTTGAAAGGGGGTTGAGGGTGGGGGGGGACGTTCGGTATGAAGCCAGAGCTACGACTTCCATCGAGTCAGGAGTAGGGGTAGAGGGTGCATCGAAACTATGACGCGTGAGAGTACACACAGAGGGCAAGGCAATATCCGAGAGTGGTATGAAACATACTGTATGATGGATAAAAACAAACAGATTAATAACAATGAACACTTCACATGCAAAAAAAAGATAAGAGTATACAGTAGACCCCGTGAGAACAACACACATACAGTACAACAGGACTGAATGACGCAACTAACACTGATGGAATACTAAATTTGGATCGCTGTATTTATAGTGATTTTTTTTAGGATACAGAAATTAAGACAATACAGAAAAAAAAGTGCAGAGTAACAAATACACATATATTTCATGTTACATACTATCATATATATGTTCAGAGAATTCACTGAAACATGTATATGGTTATATACGTATATACAATTTATGGTTGCCTTCTTTTAGGTCTCTTGATATTGTGCATGGCTACCCTTGGATAGGATCTACTGCATCCTGAAGCCAACTAAATAAACCTGATCCCCTCCATTACTTACACGATGGAATAAGAAATCAAGAATTTGCTTCGCTTTTTAGATGTCTGAAAATTATTTGAAATTAAGGTTTATAATTAACATACGCAGGTAGATTCCTACCTACCTTGTTTTGTTTTTCTTATTATAACTATAGAATTGTATTTCTTTAGAGGAATTCATTCTGTAATCTTACCAGGACAGTTTGTTATCCTGATTGTTTATAGATAAAGGATTGTCATCTAGTTCCAGGAGTAAGAGACCCCAGTTATGTAATAAGACCTCAACTCTACCGTTTCATAATGACTTGACTCACCTTAAAAGTGAAGGCTCTTAATATCAACGTTATGCTTCGATACGATATAATAGAATAATAAGAAATCCATTAATAAGGAACAATCCCCCACAGCTTAAGAGGAAGGTGTAGGCGTGTTCTCCACTCCATGAGATGAATAACACACACACATTATATATATATATATATATATATATATATATATATATATATATATATATATATATATATATATATATATATATATATATATATATATATATATTTATATATATATGCAGTATATGAAAGAAAAACAGCAGGCGAATAAAGCATACAAGCAACAACATAAAATGAAACAGAAAAAGGGTTTATTGAATACACACACAAATAGAGGTAGAGTGGCATTGGATGGCAGGTGTTAAAAACAAAGTAAAAATAAAACCCAAGTGGACGAGTGAGAAGAAAAATGTGCCAGAGACACACGGCGACTGGCCAGAGAACCCCGTCAACACTGTTGTTAGAATATTAGTTTATCAGTACAAGTTCTCACCTTCCCACAATGTCTGAAGCTAGAACAACATTCTCCTGCTAAACGTCAAAGCTTTGTTTAAGCTGTTTCTATCGGGTTTACAGGTTAAAGACAAGATTCCCTTATTCGTGTAAAAGGTCACTAGCCAAGGGGTCTTCAAATCCTCAATACACGAAGAAAATCCATGACAAAACTATACTAAATTACTCCATCGCTTGAACTATGATGAAAGAATCATATTAATGGTAAACTTATACATTCCACAGTCCATTTCAGCTAACGCTGTCACCCTCACATCCATTAACCCTATAACATTAGCATATCACAATAACTAGTACTTTGTGTTACTTTGTCTCATGGATTTGCTACGTAGAACGCGTAGTTTCATATTGAAGAGAACTAGGGAAAACACAAACATTTTGACTAAGTTGGGTTTCTTTAATCACTAACGTTTCGGAAAATCATTTTCCATCACCAGAGCCTAGAGAACAAAACAGTTTTAAAAAGTTTTAAAAAATACAGGTGATATACAATAAAATTTACTTTCCGCAAAATTAAAAACAAACTTAAAGAAGCTTTTCAAGGAATTCTATCCACAAATTTCTCTTAGACTAGTCTTCAAAACCCAGAGTTCAATTACAAAATTCTTTAAAATTAAAGACACCGTACCCACACACCTGCAATTCTCAGTTGTTTATCAATTTACGTGTGCTAGCTGTAGGGCAGCATATATAGGTAAAACAAAATGACATTTGATAACTCGCATCCATGAACACTTGGGCCGTTCCGTCCGGAAAGGCCAGTTAATCACACAACCACCACATTCAGCTATCCGTAACCACGCCCACCAACATGACCATCTGTTTTCGCCGTCTGATTTCTCAGTTCTTGGCAGGAGCAACTGTGAGACGGACCTCCTCATTATGGAAGCCATGTATCAGTATAAAGTAAAGCCATCCATTTGTGATATGGTCTCCTGTGAATTGTTGTGATCAGGTGAGAAGGCCGGGTCACTTGACCATCTGACCTGACCACCAACCGTTGTGTGCTATTTAAAGATTAGTAGGGTCATTACCTAATACCTGACCATTGTGGACCTGGTCTCACCCTCCTCTGTATATATACACCTTGATTTGTATTTCTCTCTCTAGTCTGTACTCACCCCTGAAGATGTGAATTACACGAAAGCGCTTGGGACTAAGGAAGACCTTCCCCAAAGTATCCAACTGATGATCCACCTTCCCCAGGTGGCAAGAGATCATGAAGATCCTCCCCAAGCAGGTTTGGGGGAGGATCTTCATATGATCCTATATATATATATATATATATATATATATATATATATATATATATATATATATATATATATATATATATATATATATATATATATATATATATATATATATATATATCAATTGTTATGCCATTTTGAGACAACAAATCGTTTCCAGTGTTCATGGTCTCTTCCTGAAAACCTAAACATCTCACTCTCTACGCCCCTCACCCTCCCCCTCGTGCTTCCTGTTATAACTAACATAAACCTTGAGCCCCCAGTTGTCTGTCACACGTCCTGAAAAAAAAATATCTGACCACACAAACTAACAGTTTTCTAAATTGAAAATATTGAAGTTTGAGGATGTTAATATTTATTGCTGTGCTGTACTTTATTGTTTATTAGTCAGTTAATCACGTGATTGGAAATAATTATTTCAAGTTCCGGACAAACCAGAGAAACCTCCTAAAAGACATCTACGGTCTACAGGTGCGTATTAAGATGTTTGTAGCTCTTACTTTTCTACTTTTTACTTTATTGCACCATTATATACCATCATGAAAAAAAATATTATTGCAGTATATTTTGTCACCACGACACGATCATGACTGTGTCTTTCTTTGTGTTCAACATTACACAATTCATGCTGAATC